AATATGATACATGTAGTTTTAAATTATATTTCCAATGTTATAGTTTATTTGTTTGCTATAAGGAGCTGTCATTTGTGATGATGGCTAGAAATGGGGATACTTTATAAATATGAGTTGAGTTAGTGAAAGTAATGAGAGTGAGTTTATGAATTTAGTGTCAGAAAATTGTTCATTATTGGAAGTGAGATTTACTGTGTGTATTAAGTTATAACTGACAAGGAAATTCCATAAGTAAGTTTATTCATGAGTTAGGTGACTAATCAGTTAGTATTGGAATTTATTTTCAAACATTATTTTTATAGTTAGGCCTACAACTACAAATGAGAATAGCATGAAGCAAGTGTTAAGGAATATATAAATAATTCATTGTTTTTGTGTGGACTGGATTTGTCATTATATTTACCACATAATTCAAGAGAACCTGTCCAGTACCTTCAAAACATTTGGCAAGTTTTATTAAACATTACAAAAACAAAAATCAAACTTTTTTAATAAATTGTTTTTACTAAAGATATGTCTGTAAATTTATAAAGCCTTTACTAAGCCTTTCAGTGTGAGAGGTTATTTTCCTGTTAAAAATAAAAACTTACCTTCCAGTTAAATAGTCTTCATATTTAATTTGCTTGACTTCTAAAATCTCCTAAGTTAATATCAGAACTATTTTTTGGTAAAAGTTTATATTTTATCTCTTACTTTCTCTACACTATCACAACTTTAATCATCAGCATACAGTGAAATTAAAAGTTGAAAAATATGGAAGAAAAACTTGTTTTTTTAATTACTGTAATTATTGTAAGAAATAACATTCAATATAATTATTTATTCTAACAGTCTCAGCCTCTAACCTGTTCATATATTGCTGTACTTTGATTTTATGGTTTTATTGTTGCATCTTTGATCTTTTCTCTTCGTGAAAAGCAATATATATCACTGTTGAATGTTTCCAATACAGCTTAGAGTCAATAATAATAACGTCAAAATCATACTCCAACTGATAAGAGACTTTTGTACCTTCAGTAACTCATTTTTCTCAGTCTGTTGATTGTCCAAAAACTAATTTATTTAAATGTCAGATATTCATATAATTTTTCAAAACTACTACAACTTTTTTGGCCTTCAATTTAAGTTGTAATATGTGTTAACAGATTCTGTTAGCTTCTTAGTTTGTCCTGGTGTTTATACCTTGGACTCACGTCTGCAATCTGCTGGTCACAGGTTCAAATTCCATCACCAAGTAGCCCAAGCATTAGAAGTGGGTGGTGTTAACTAACTTCTTTTACTGTAGCCTATAATTTCTAAGTTAGGGACAACTAGTGGAGATGTGTGGTTTTAGAAATTCCAGTTCAGTTTGATTATGGTTTGGTTTTACTTTTAAAACATTAGTTCAGTTTGTTTTTTAAGCCTACATTGTAATGTAAACGAAACTATTTACTTTCACATGTATATAGTAAAACTAACTGAACCAACACTGAATACTATCAGTTAATCTCTAATGGAAAAGTTATTATTTTGAAACATCTTTCATTTATATAATTTATATTTTGTTTTACAATAAAGATGTGATATTGTTCTGATGGTTTTTAATGAAGATAATCAAATGAAACAAATTTTTTATAAAATGATAACTTTACAAATATCTTTAAAACAGATTTATTAAAAAATCTGTTATCATAACTCAGAACAAATCACATATTACAGTACTAAACACAATAAATATGTAAAATATTCAAGAATTTCATGAACATGGTATTGACTGTAAAGCAAGACTAGTAAAATAAAAACAAGTCACTGTTTTGGACACTCTGTCATTGAAGTTGAATCTGAACATTTAAGCTTGTTTTAAAGTCCCAACATAGCTTAAACAAATATTAGTGAACAATTGGGAACTGTTTACATAATTTGTAATAACTTAAAATATACAGATGTGTCAGCATTAAGAAAGCATTATCTGTACTTAGTGAACTATTTATAAGAAACTTGAAGATTGTGTCTGAGACATATGAACTATACAGCAGAGTTCAGCTTCAAGTTGGTTGGACACTGAGTAAGAACTAAGCCTATTTTTGAAAAGATGCAGTCATATGGAAATGAGGTTGCTAATACTTGTAAATATATTTTATCCAGTTTGGCCAATGTTGGGAACTTATAGGAGAGTGACTTCTCTGCCCACTATCAGGTTTTATATATGGGTCAGATTCTGTATCTTGTTGGTGATAAATTTAAACAATAAACAAACAGCACATAGTCCACTTATTTTGAAATAATATATTAATACAAGTCAAATGTATATATAAATGTCGCTACACTGTTGGTTATCACAGTTGTATCCAGAGCTTTAAATATTTATCTTTTTCTTTAAAGTTCATACAGGCTGTTTCAGTTATTTTAGTAAACAATTTGACAAGATGAATTATTCTTCTCTACTCTGTTATTACAATGCAGTTCTGTGATAATTTGACTTTAAAAATTGCCACTATACACTTTATTTCTAGACTCATAATCACAAAGTCTAGATCTCGCTATCGAACTAAGTTTTCAACTCGTATTTATACCCCAACAGAGATCTTGATATTATGATGCAATAATATCCAATTAACATAAAAAGAAAATCTCAGAAGAATCTAGTAACATGATGCAGTAATATAACAATCAACAATTCATAACTATTGAATTACACAACATATGATTCACAAACAGTTATATAAACAAACCTGTGAAAACTGTTGTGTCTCAAAATATCTAAATTTAAGACTTGTGCTGTATTAATTATCTAAATCGTAACAATGGCACTAAACTTAAATGGAAACATTCCTGTATACCTAACAACCACCATTCAAAAGGAGATGACAATGATTCTAGCACTGACTCTGGAGAACATAAATGCTGTT